AATCCACCAGGTTGAGCTGAATCCCCAGGGGAGTCCTTGCCCTGGAGGAGATGAGAATGGGGGGTGGGCTGGGGGGAGCACAGAGAGGGGGCGTGGGAGGAGGGAGGACAGGTGAATCCGTGGCTGATATGTAAAATTAAATCAAATTATAAAACAATAAAAAAAGAAATTTAAAAAAGTGAAAGAAAGGTGGGGCTTAATCTCATTCAGCAGGGGGATATTCAAGATACTATTGCATTACCAAAGGCCTCACCTGTTAATAGTCTCCCCCAAAGTCACCACCTAAAAATTAGTAGAATCAGAATTTGAACCCAGGCAGTCTGGCTCCAAAGTCCTTGCTCTCACCATTACACTTTCCTATACTAGTGTCCTATTGATGTTGACATCTGTTTGGTTTCAAAGATCTATCTTCCAAGCCAACGCTATAACTATGCTATGCTCATTTCCATAGCTTTATCTTGGTAGGTTAAATCTTGATTTATAATCAATCACCCTCTCATCTTAGCTATATTTAAAGCTTTATATTACATCATGACCATTTTAACATCTTTTTGGGATTTCATAAAATAATCCCAAATACAACTACTGAGGGATCTGGATGCAGAGATCCATGGCTAGGCCCTGGGTGGATCTCTGGGAGTCCAATTAGGGAGAATGAGGAGGGTTTATATGAGCAAGAATTGTTGAGACCAAGGTTGGATAAAGCACAGGGACAAATAGCCAAACAAATGGAAACACATGAACTATGAACCAATGGGTGAGGGGGTCTCCAACTGGATCAGGCCCTCTGAATGGGTGAGACAATTGATTGGCTTGATCTGTTTGGGAGGCATCATCTTTTTTTAAAAAAAATTTTATTTTTTTTTGCAATACAATTCAGTTCTACATATCAGCCACAGATTCCCTTGTTCTCCCCCCTTTGGCCCGCCTCACATTCCCCCCAGTCCACCCCCCATTCCCACCTCCTCCAGGGCAAAGCCTCCCCTGAGGACTGAGATCAACCTGGTAGACTCAGTCCAGGTAGGTCCAGTCCCCTCCTCCCAGGCCGAGCCAAGCGATCCTGCATAGGCCCCAGGATTCAAACAGCCAACTCATGCAATGAGCACAGGACCTGGTCCCACTGCCTGGATGCCTCCCAAACAGATCAAGCCAATCAATTATCTCACCCATTCAGAGGGCCTGATCCAGTTGGTGACCCCTCACCCATTGGTTCATAGTTCATGTGTTTCCATTCATTTGGCTATTTGTCCCTGTGCTTTATCCAACCTTGGTCTCAACAATTTTTGCTCATATAAACCCTCCTCATTCTCCCTAATTGGACTCCCAGAGATCCACCCAGGGCCTAGCCATGGATCTCTGCATCCAGATCCCTCAGTAGTTGTATAGGGTTTCTAGCATGACAATTAGGGTGTTTGGCCATCCCATCACCAGTGTAGGTCAGTTCGGGCTGTCTCTCGACCATTGCCAGCAGTCTGTTGTGGGGGTATCTTTGTGGATTTCTGTGGGCCTCTCTAGCACTTTGCTTCTTCCTATTCTCATGTGGTCTTCATTTACCATGGTCTCCTATTCCTTGTTCTCCCTCTCTGTTGTTGATCCAGCTGGGATCTCCCACTCCCCCAAGCTCTCTTTCCCTCGACCCTCGCCCTTCATTACCCCCACTCATGTCCAGGCTGTTCATGTAGATCTCTTCCATTTCTCCGTCATTGGGTGATCCCCATGTCTTTCTTGGGGTCCTGTTTTCCAGGTAGCCTCCCTGGTGATGTGAGTAGCAGACAAGTCATCCTTGTTCCACATCTAGTATCCTCCTATGAGTGAGTACATACCATGTTTGTCTTTCTGAGTCTGGGTTACCTCACTCAGGATGATTTTTTCTAGATCCATCCATTTGCCTGCAAACCTCATGATGTCATTGTTTTTCTCTGCTGAGTAGTATTCCATTGTGTATATGTACCACATTTTGTTTATCCATTCTTCAGTTGAAGGGCATCTAGGTTGTTTCCATGTTCTGGCTATTACAAACAATGCTGATATGAACATAGCTGAACAAGTGCTCTTGTGGTGTGGTTGAGCATTCCTTGGGTATATGCCCAAGAGTGGTATAGCTGGATCTTGGGGGAGATGGATTCCCAATTTTCTAAGAAAGCACCATATTGATTTCCAAAGTGGTTGTACAAGCTTGCATTCCCACCAGCAGTAGAGGAGAGTTCCCCTAGCTCCACATCCTCTCCAGCATAAGGTGTCTTCAGTGTTTTTGATCTTTGCCATTCTGACAGGCGTAAGGTGGTATCTGAGAGTTGTTTTGATTTGCATTTCCCTGATGATTAGGGATGTTGAGCAATTCCTTAAATGTCTTTCAGCCATTTGAGTTTCCTCTGTTGAGAATTCTCTGTTTAGTTCTATAGCCCATTTCTTAATTGGACTGTTGGGAATTTTGATGTCTAATTTCTTGAGTTCCTTATATATTCTGGATATCAGTCCTCTGTCAGATGTGGGGTTGGTGAAGATCTTTTCCCATTCTGTAGGCTGTCGCTTTGCCTTGTTGACTGTGTCCTTTGCTCTACAAAAGCTTCTCAGTTTCAAGAGGTCCCACTGATTGATTGTTTCTCTCAGTGTCTGTGCTACTGGTGTTCTATTTAGGAAGTGATCTCCTATGCCAATGCATTCAAGACTGCTTCCTACTTTCTCTTCTAGCAGGTTCAGAGTAGCTGGATTTATGTTGAGGTCCTTGATCCACTTGGACTTAAGTTTTGTGCACGGTGATAGATATGGATCTATTTGTAGCCTTCTACATGTTGATATCCAGTTATGCCAGCACCATTTGTTGAAGATGCTTTCTTTTTTCCATTGTGAACTTTTGGCTTCTTTGTCAAAAATTATATGTTCATAGGTGTGCGGATTAATGTCAAGGTCTTCAGTTCGATTCCATTGGTCCACATGTCGGTTTTTATGCTAGTACCAAGCTGTTTTTTATTACTGTAGCTCTATAGTAGAGCTTGAAGTCAGGGATCGTGATGCCTCCAGAGGTTGTGTTATTGTACAGAATTCTTTTGACTATCCTGGGTTTTTTGTTTCATAAAAATTCTTATTCAACTTTTTCTTGAAATGTATAAATGACTTTGGGAAAGGATTGATACTCTTATCTTGTGTCTTATTGTGAGCATGGTCTGAGTCATTTTCTCCCAGCAACCATTAGCCACCAATAATTCAGGGAATGGCAGGTCTTCCTAAGATCTTACCCCATCCATAATGAAATGTTGAGGTCCTGATCTTGTACTGGTCTTCTTCAAGTAACAACAGCTACTGTGAATTCATGAGTGCCATGTCCAAAAGAAATCCTCAGCTTAGTCCAGCTCTTACATTCTTTCATCCCCTTCTTCAATGATGTTTTTGGAACCTTGGAGGAGGATGATCGAAATGTTCCACTTAGTACTGAGCACTTACAGTCACTTATTCTCAGCACATGCACCAATTAGGAATCTCAGCATTAACTATTGACAACTGCAAACAGAAATTTTTCTGACCATGACTAAGAGCAGCCGTAATCTTCAATTAATCTTTAATGTATTAGGTGGAAACATAAACATTTAGAAGGTAGTTTGACACCACGTTCATGGAGCAAAACAACAGTAATTGGTTTCTCCCTAGGGCTTATGACCTCCACAGACATGGACTTTTGTCCAGTTTTATAGAACCAAATGAATTCCATTCTATGGAGTAGACCTCACTTCCACTTCCTTAAAACTCACTGTCCTTCTTTTAGGCTTCTTTGTAGTTTAATGGCCTCTACCTACACTTACTCCAACAAACACACACAAATACACACACACACACACACACACACACACACACACACACACACACACACATGAATTACATGAAAGGAAACACATCCTTTTGTCTCTCTCAGCCTAGAATACCTCACATAGTATAATATTTTCAATTCCACTCAATTTCTTGAAAATCTCATAATTTTTGTTTTTACCTATGAATGATTAAAATTGTGCACATATCTTTCATTTTCATTATCTACTCATCTGTTAACGGACATCTGGACTGTTTCCATTTCTGGCTTTTATGAATAGAGCAGCAATAAGCAGGGATGTTTAAGTGTCTCTATGACAGGCTATAGTATCCTTTGGTATATGCCCAGGAGTGGAAAGGTGAAACATATACCAATATTTTACGTCAGCCTAAAATGTTTTTGGGGAGATGCTGGGCTTTGTGGCTTAAGTCCTAACAAATACTAGTACCCAGGAAACAGAACAAAGGAAGAAAAATTTCAGCAAATTAGAGGCCAGCCTGGGCTACATGGTGAAGTCAGGTCCACTATAATTACAAAGCTGGATCCTGTCTCGATGAAACAACCGAATGAAAACTTGGAGGGGTGCCACTTTTCAACTCTAGCGTTCATGATTTCTGTAACTGTGTCTCCATGTATTGTCCATGTGCTATCCCTGCTGTCTTCATTTCCCATAGCACCAGTGTTGGATGCACTAGCTCAAGTGTTAGAAAATTTACAGACTTCATTTTCTTTGAAGAAGGTGAAAGGAAGAGAGTTGCAACTTCTAAGAAACTTGGTTTGGCTTGCTGATTCCAGCCACTAGGTAGATTAGGGTAAGGTTTTAGCCAAGTAAAATTGCCAATTTTCTAAGAGAAAGGGCTAGCACATCGCTCATTAGAGCATTCTGAGCTTGCCTGTGCAATCTTTTTTTTTTTTTCCTACCCTGCAATTTCCTGTGGGTTATAAATGAAACCTTTCTAGCTGTTAATGCAGGCTGTGAATTGAAGAAAAAAAGCATGTAATTAATCATAGGAGGTTGGGGGGGGGGTGCTCGCTAAGCTTGAGTTCCAGGGGAGAAGCCGGACAAGGCACTAGGACCTAGAAGGCAGCTATCCACCCTGGCAGGAATTTCTTGCTTGGAGCTCAGACAACAAAGGCATAGAGAGATTGGTTTTCTTTCTCTCAGCATCTCCACCCAACCAGCAGCAAACCGGTGAGTGGGGCTTTCGAGTGATTTTCAAGCCGAATGTAACAGATGTCAAACGGGAAAAGCACAAGGCACACAGCTCTCTTTCTGTGTGTGGCTGTCTCTGTCTTTCTTCTTCTCTTTTATTTGCCTTATTCTATAGGATTGTTGTCCTCTAAGATTCTACCTGGGATTTTCCTCTGGAAAAGTGAGTTTGTTGTTCCTTTGTTTTCACTGTGATGCTAATTTAGAATAATAGCACTTCTGATTCTAAAGCATAGCTTTATTTGCACAGCCCGCCTGGGGAAAATGCTTGATATACTTGTCTTGAGGAGGTGGGGTCTTACTACTGCAGGTTGTCTGACAGAGACAATGCTGAGCTCAGCATAGGTCATGGGGACACTGGAAAAAAAGGGGGACTGAGCCTGGCAAAGACACCAGCGAGCAGTCTCCCTTAACCTCCTGTCTCCCTGGTTCCTTGCAAATCTTGATGTGGCAGTATGTAGCAGCTGAGCCCTCTTGCTTCGTGAGGCTTTTTCCCCCATCTGTGAGATGAATGTTAATAGTTTGGTTCCTTGGATGTCACATTACCTTTGTGAGCGTTCAGGGCTTCGGTTGTATTATTTGGTTGCATGTTTTCATTGTTTTTTTTCTAATGGGGAGGGGTTCAGTGGGGGGGTGGGGGTGGGGGTGAGATTAAAGCATGACAGATGACCATTTTTTTTTTGCCTCCATCAATGAACCTAGGCAATAGACAAGTTTGAAGTGAATTGCCTGCTGTGAGGGTAAAATGTTCCTTCAGTCAGGGGAGAAACCCAGAACAATGAAAGGTGTACTCGCTTGTGAGGGTCCCATATGCTATTCAGGGACCCATTTGGGAATCTCTCCACAATTAAATTATTCCATTAAAAGGTGTCGCTGCATTGGTGGGAAGGGGATGGAACACCTGAAAGGAGAAAAAGGATTCTGTGACCAAATAGAAGCAAGAGGAAAGCAGAGCTAATAGCTTGTTAAAGAACTGGTGTTTTCGACATCCTCCTCCCCCTTTTCAAACCCCAGCTTATTTCTTATGAATGCTGTATAGCGGCACCAGCTTGATGGGAGAGGGTTTGATGAATAGCACAAAGACACTGGGTATTCCCTGGAGGCTGTCCCTTTAAAAGAGAATCCTAGTTTATTCTGGGGGAGGGGATACACATATTAGAGCAGGAAAAAAGGATTTGGAATAAAATTCAAATACCCCTCTTCCTAGCCATTGTATTGAGATGCCAACCTTGGCTAGCTCCCTGTTTCTCTTCAAGGGGAATTTTGTCAGGCTAGGGATTCATTTACAACTGTTAGTCATGTGGACATGTGTGAGGAAGCAGATGCCAGTTTTAATGTATTTTGCCCGAAGTTACAATTTGATAGGAGCCACTGTCAGTAAGTTCCAGGATTTTAAGCTATTTCAACACCCCCTCCCAAATTTGGAACAGTGCCAAAAGTGCCACCCTTTCTATCTCTTGCTCCTGTCCCCCCTCCCCAGCATCCAGTCCTACTGCCCAGCCCCCTCCATCTTCTCTATTAAGATCAATATTCCTGTAGGTCAGGGACAAGCAGCAGATGGGTCACAGGCTTTTTTCAACCAGTTCTTTTCACAGGCAGCAGATTGCAGCTCTGGATCTGGCTAATATTTCAATTCCTTTTCTTTTTTTCTCTCACCCCCACCCCTCCTTATTTGCCATCCCTTGTCCCCACCTCTTTCTCTAACAATCAGGTTGCTGCGGTTCAATCAAAATATGGAACTTGATTTTGGACATTTTGACGAAAGAGACAAAGCATCTAGGAATATGAGAGGGACACGGATGAATGGGCTTCCAAGTCCCACTCATAGTGCCCACTGTAGCTTCTACAGAACCAGAACCTTGCAGGCACTAAGTAACGAGAAGAAGGCCAAGAAGGTACGTTTCTACCGCAATGGGGACCGCTACTTCAAGGGGATTGTGTACGCTGTGTCTTCTGACCGTTTTCGTAGTTTTGATGCGTTGCTGGCTGACCTGACTCGATCCTTGTCCGACAACATCAACCTGCCTCAGGGAGTGCGCTATATTTACACCATCGATGGATCCAGGAAAATTGGAAGCATGGATGAACTGGAAGAAGGTAATTTAAGTAGTGGGTGGTGGCCCCTGGAAGGAAAGGATGTTCCTATGATTACATTTTTAGTCTTCCTTGAAAGAAACTAGGCTATTTGTTTGCCAAAACATCAGGTTGACTGATGCTCAGGCTTCTGATTCCAACAGGACCATTAACTGTCACTCTTCATGGGGTTCCATCTCTGCTGAGGTTGGAATGTACATGGGTTTGCTAATGCTAAATGTGCTTATCTGCCTGGGTATACAAAGGAAAATCTGAATTGTGACATTCACTCTAGATCTTGTTCATAACTAACTCGGTGTGGCACCATCAAGGCAGGCCATGAAATCATTAATCATTAAGGGGAGGAAGAATAAAACAATTTTGCCCAGATTTCCCATGAACTGCTGAGAAATTGTTTGGAAATTGCTGCTCATTAGAAATACACACCCCAATACAGGACTTCCTGGATATGTTCACAGAAGATTAAACTTTTAGGTAAGTGTTTGCTGCTCAGCTGTTGCTTCTAAAAAGCCCACTTCAGGGTGTGTCTGAGAGGCTGAGATCATTGGGAGAAATATGAAAGAAAGCTGTAGGTATGTCTGGTATTTTAATGACCACCATTTCTATTAGAGTAAGATGAGTCACTCTACCTAAGTCCTTTCATATCCTCTCTATACTTTGGAATTCCAACTGAATTTTATGTTGACTGATGAAAACCTCGACAACCTGTGACCCACATGATAACAGAGAAATATCCCAGATCTTCACAAAACTTATTCAACCATATTTTCTTTTTTATGGATATTTAGAAAACATATCTTGTGTCATATTGTTAATATTTTATATTGCCAGACAAATTATCATGATCAACTTGACGCATAGGTACTTTAAAGGATAGCCTCAAGGAATAGTGACAATAGAAATGTTCTTCCAGTCTCTCCTACATTATTCAGCCCTCCGTCTCTCCCTCCCTCCTTCCCCCTCTGCCCTCAATCTCCCACAAAGGTGAATCAGTGCAAATAGATCTCTAGGGAATCCAGATTATAAAGAGCCAACAAAGAAAGAGAAACAGCACATTTGGTGACTTAGTAGGAGTAGCCCAGCCTCACCGTGTTGAGGTTTCCTGTGTTCCTAGACAAAGGGGCATGAAGGTTTCCCTTATACAAGGTCCTATTCCCATCATGTAGTTGTGGTTTTCAAAGCAGTAATGTGAAGTGATTCAGGCAAGCAACTTAAAGAGACAATATCCATATAGTGCTTCCATCTGAGAGAGTCTCAGGATTGGAATCTAAGAGTTTTCTACACAGCTGACCTTGAAAATCCATGCAGAGGAGGATGATTAGATCATTTACAGAGTGGGTAGGCAAACATTGATCCGAGACTTTCCTAATCATCAAAGGGTTAATCATTCTAGTGCATATCTTAAAATAAAAGGAGGCCAGTTAGGGTCAACTCTTAAATCTGGATGCTCAGTCGAGGGAGCTGTCCAACAGAGTAATCAATAAGGCCTGTGTCTTCAGTTGCTATAAAATCTGTATTTCAGTCAAAGTTGAGGGATTTCTCTGTAATACCTTTTACAAACAAAACACACTGAATCTCCTAGTTTGTCTTAATTTCCATCATCTGTGAACATTTAAATGCCATGATACATGCTAGGTAAGAATCTGAACCAGACATAGTATACTGAGTAAGAGTGAAAATGTTATATTTATTATCAGTGTTTTACAGATTTCTCTCAATCAATTTTTTACAAATATCCCCACCCTCATATATATGTGTATACGTGTGTATTGAGAAAAAGTTGATGACAAACCATGTCAATTTAATCTGTGTAAGTGATCAGCATGAATTTTAAAAACAGACCACAGCTTTATTCTCACCTGTCTTCTCTTGGTTCCTGCTAAATTAGACCTATAGACCATTTCTGGGTGCAGTGGTATCTCCTGATGGGTTTCCAAACAGTATAGAATCTGGATAGGGATCAATTAAATTTACTCACTTTGTCTTCTACAAGCCCAAGTGACAGTGGATGCCAGAGGTATTTCTGGGGGAGTATTAATGATTTTTCTCACTGCCATATAGCTAAGTGGGAAAGGGCACCGAGATGAAGAAGACATGGAAAGTTTTTTTTTTTTTTTGCTTGCATTTTGTCAGTTAGAGTTACTTATGTAGAAAAAAGGTCAGATATCCCTTTGTTTACTTCCAGAAGAATGTGGATGGAAGATCAAAAATTATTAATGTACAGTTTCCTGTTAAGATTTAAATTGAGGATGTTTGGAAAGATTACTGGTGAAGTATCAGGAATATTGGGTTCACATCTCGGAGCAGATTACAATGGAAAATGAAATATTGGGAATGAGATTTGTTTCAAATTCAGATCTGTTAGCTTCTAGCCTGTAGAAACTTGAGGAAATCAGTAGAAACCCCAAGCTTCAGTTTTTAAAATCTATAAAATGAAAGCAATTGCTTTGAGAATCAATTAAGAAATGGTATGAAGTGCTTTCTATTCTTCTCCATACACAGTGATACTCAATAAAGGGTAACTGTTACTGCCTAAGTCATTCTCATTTTTACCTGGTTAGCTACATGACTATGGGGCTGTCTTCATCATCAATGATACTAATGTTCTCTCTCTTTCAAAAACAATGGCTTTAATCTGGTGCAGTGGTTCACACTTTGTAACTCAAATATTAAGAGTCTGAGGCAGGAGGACAGTGAGTTTGAGGCCAGCCTAGACTGCAGTGGTCTTGGAACACATTACATACCAACTGAGATAGGACCTCAAAGTCTAGGGCCTCTAAACTCATTCTTCTACTCTTTATTGAGAAATTCTTTTGAGTATTAAAACTTGGAGAGTGTTAGATGAGGTGATTTTGATGAGTCTGTTCCACTAACAACAGTGATACAGAGTGTTCCTAGTTGTAGAAACCTCATTTCTGTTCATTTTTGCTCTGTAGATCTCAAAGGAATGGATCACACAACATGTGTTTCCAAATGATCAGAACATTAAATATTTAGCCTAAAATTAGAGAAAATAAAAAGCAAATGCTAATCACTCTGACCTTATGGCACCTCTGGCACTCCTTTTGTCTGGTGACTCTAGTCAACTGTCTGCTGCTAGATGGTGGAAATCATCAAGGGAATCATTTTGAGTCTAAATCTCATTTTTCATGTCAGCCTTTCCATAGCTTCTTGCATACAACAAGGGTCTTGGCAAAACCACAGAGGATGCAGCTCTCATGAAACTGTATCCCCAGCTGGTCAATGAAGGAGATTCATCAGTGGTATTTCCTTTTGTTTGCCTCTTCTTTATCTTTCATTAGAAAAGTATTGTCCATTTCCATAATATCTAAACTTTTCTTCATCTCCGTGTTTATATACACTCACCAATTTAAGGGTTCTATTTTTGACTAGCCGGTTTTTGTGTATCAAGACAAATTTGAACACTATTAATTATGCAGACCATTGGAAGAATACTTAAAAGTTGAATAGTCTTGAATAATTTGAGCTATATAGTGACACTGTATGATCCAGCTCCTTTACCATAGTGCACATGTTCTAATGAGATTAAACCACCTTTTCACTAAGTCTCTTATTACTAAACAAGTGCATCACCCAAAGCAGGGATTTTAAGATGCTCAGGAGTGATGATGCACGGACATGATAATACAAAAAGCCATCATTTAATATTTCAATGTAATAATGCAATAAAGTATCATTCAATATTTTCTTCCTTGAGTTAGGAATCCCCAGAAAAGAATAGAAAACACAGGGAAAAGCATTTTTGCATTAAGAGATTATAAATGTATAAGACTCTTTGGAAAATGAAGCCTTCCTAAAGGTGAAGAAGGGTACCCTTTGGATCATTTTGAACCTAATACCTGTTCCCTTTATGCCCTTTTAGTCATGTTTCCATCATTTCATTTCCCTCACCCCTTGTCCTAAAGCAGCTGAATTACAGCAAATTGTCACTTTGCTTACCTGAGAAACAGCTTTCTTTATAGGTTCCCAGAGGGTGGAATCTAACCCCTGGAGGCTGTGGCAGGGTGGAGACTCAGCTGCGGAAAGTTACAATTGGCTTCACCCAGCTCCAAGTGCTAGGTAACCGTGTAGGAAGCACCAGGCTCTGAAAATAGACCTGAGAAATGTTTGCAAGATCAGAACCAGGAAACCTTATCTACAACAAAGGAACACATCTAGGGTTTTCCAATAATAGAACTACAAGGTCCTTGTGGGTGGGCATCTAGGTTTTTGCATTTGATTACTAAAATAACTATTTCCTCAAGCCTGTTTGAGATTGAAAAGAGAAGAAAATTCTCTCTTATACATCTTTAGGCCCATAAAAGACTCTGCTATCATCTAGTGAAATGCCTTCAGTTTGTAGATAAAGAAGTCAAGACTTAGGGAGATTAAGTGACATGCCTGAGGTCATATGGCTCCTAAGTGCCTGGTTGGGATTTGAATTAAGATCTATCTCCTTCATCCTCCAGACTGCTGAGATTTACAGGCATGGACCACCAGGCTCTGCTACAAGGCACTAGTGTTTTTTGTTCTTTCTTTTAGTCTGCTGTAGCCCAAGCTAATGTCACACTTTCTATGTGGCTGAGGGTGACCTTGAATTCCTTCCCCTCCCACCTCTCTTGAAAGTGCTGGGATTATAGATGTGCATAACCTCGCCTGGCTAAATCACTGTTCTTAATCATCATAAATGTCTTGCCCTAAGTGTGCATCAGCAGTTGCAGCAGGCAGCAATGGATTTGCTGTGTGTGAGCTATAAAGCTCCTGCATTGGTAATTTGCAACTCCAAGAGTCTTCTTTTCTAGAAACATGAAATACTAATTAATTAATTAATTAGTTTAGTTAATAGACAAGGTCTCACTAGGTAGGCTTGTTTTGGTCAGAAGTTCACTATGTGAAGCAGGCTGCCTCCAGCTCACAGAGACCCTCTCGTTCCTGTTTCCCGAGCTTGGGGATTACAGTAATGTACCACCATGCCCCACCTATAGCAGGCAATCTTATTTTTGAAGCACAGGACTCCAGAAATGCTCACATCATACAGTCGGCACTGCTCAGGTCATAGACAGCTGACCTTGATGCATTCTTTGCTCTTCTTTAGCTTTGGTACCTCCTTGCCCTACATCCTCCCTCTCAGCTTTTATTTCTTCTTCTTTCTCTTTCCTTTCCTCCTATTTATATGTCATTTTAGATGGGGAGCTTAATGATAATAATGAGAACTTATGAAGTGCTTACTATGCTCCAGTCTCTGAGCTCAGCACTTTTTATCCATTACTGGACTTGCACCCCACAGCAACCCTATAAGGTAGGGCTTATTATTAGAATCCCCCCACCTTGCAGACAAGAGACTGCTGCCAAGGAAGTCAGGTAATTTGCCAAGGTCACACAACTAGAAAGTGTTAGGGATCACAATCTGACTGACATCATACCAGCTGTTCTTTTTCCACTGCTATGTGTTCAGGCCAAAAGTAGAGAGTGGCGTGATTAAAATGTACCCTCAGAAGGTGCTCAACATAGATTTGTCTGAGGGCTGAGCCTTGTGGAAAGTTCTCGGGTGCCATATGATACTCTAATTATTTGCCATCATATTCATTTTCATCTGGGGGTAGTTAATCATACTTGTAGTTCAGAGGCTTAGAAGTTTAAGAAGGGGCAAACACAAAAAGTCCAGAGCCCTAATAGGGCTACACAGCTGACTCTTCAGAAGAGCTTGTGGATGAGTTAAATCATAAATATAAAGCCCTGGATGTTTCCACTCCACCAGCTGTCTGACAGAGTTTGAAAGTGTATGGCAAGTAATGGAAAACATCTGACTCAAAGGCAGTGACCTCTTGGAAGATGCCCATGAATATGATGAAGTGCAGAGGCAAGAGGCCATTTCTAGTGTATGTGGTGGGGGAGGATGTTGGCTATGAATGTATAGAGTAATTGAAAGGGATCCTTTATCCTCGTGTCACACTTTATAGATCCTAACCTCTAAACACTGGTGTTGTGTTGGATTTGCATGCCACGAGGCCAACAAAATCAAGGTCTCTTTTAGCTTGCAAACTCAACTCCTGTCCTGACTGAACACATGAGCACCAAGTAGGGCCAGTGCCTAGGATTGCTTATGATCCATCTCTTGGTTCCCCTACTGTAATAGACCATAAGTGAGATTAAGCATCCTTGTGTGCTACTCTCCCCCTACACACACACACACACACACACACACACACACACACACACACACACACACACACACACTCGTTCTCTTTTAAAGCTACCCTAGAGATTGCCACTGAATCTTAGTACTAACTGAGAAATTTATTAATTCACATGACTTGGTGCAATCAATATTTGCAAAGATAATGAATTGTCAGCCTGGTATTTCTGAATGTCTCTGTGTAGTTCTCCTGCTGAGACCAAAGGAAGTAGAAGAGCCATCCGACTTTAATTTTGTTTAATTTTTTTTGCACTGGCTAAGGATTATATATTTGTCTATGTATTTAGTTTTATTACTGATGACTTAAAGCCTGATAAAATCACTGTTTCTGCAGTTCAACCTCTGGATGAACTTCTGTATACCTCGAGGCTAATGTGCTTTACTCAGCAATTTCAGCTTTTTTTTTTCAATATATTTCTCCCTCAGGCTGAGCCCAACTCTCTCTTAATTTTCTTCAGTTTCTAGTTCCAGGTGTCTAATGCCCTCCTCTTGCCTCTGGCCACTACATTTCTTCCACTGTATTAGTCATTTTCCCCCAGCCCACAGTAAATGTAAAACTCACACTAGACCTTTTCAATTCAATCAGGCTGCATAATGCAGTCTCCCACTCATTACTGTGGCAGCCAAAAGCAACTGATGGAGACGACATCAAATATACAGATGTAATGTGCAATATTTAGGAGGATGGAGAAAGATGGAAGGGGGTAGTAGAAATAGAAAAAATATTTCCTAAGGAAGAACTAGACTTGCAAACACTAAGAATGCTGTGTGTGTGTTTGTGTGTGTGTGTGTGTGTGTGTGTGTGTGTGTGTGTGTGTGTGTGTGTGTAGCTTATTTAGATACTTCCTTCATTTTGAGAAGGATAAGCAATAGATTACACACTTATACACAAATTTAGATGTTAAACTCACGTGCAAACACACACACACACATACACGTAAAGACACCCTTTACATTTCAATAATTCTACCATTTAGCCCAATAGTCCGTGCAAATGATAGTTTTGCTTTTGATCAGGTGTGCACTGAAAGCCTGATATGTAAGGTTGTTTGGTTCACTTCAATTTGAAATAAAAATAAATTGGCTTTGAAATTTTTCCTTGGCTCATAATAGAGCAAAAGGGTGTGACCACAAGTGCAAACGTAGCATGGGAACATCAGGACACAGAGGCAAGTTAAACATGCTCCAGTGGTGCATGGAAGTTAATGAACATCAGAAAAACTGAAAAGCATCTACATTCCAATAGTACCATGCTGATTGTGGGAATTCCACTTATTAAATCATATCTAGAGGTGTTTGCTGTTTTTTATAACCCTTAGAGTTACAAGGTTCTTCAACTAGCTATGCCATTCTATTGAAGAATGTTTAGCTGATTACTTTTGAATTTGAGTAAATCAAGTTGTCAGAGGGTCTGTTTAGGAACTGGACGTTGGTTGGTTATTAGCTCAACATTTCACCAAAAGTCTTATTTCAATATGAGTGTATAGTAGCTTGATTTGCATTTGCATATCTACTACTGAACTAACCACCTAACCATTTATTTCTTCCCTTAGGGGAAAGCTATGTCTGTTCCTCAGACAACTTCTTTAAAAAGGTTGAGTACACCAAGAACGTCAATCCCAACTGGTCTGTCAACGTAAAAACATCTGCCAACATGAAAGCTCCCCAGTCCTTGGCTAGCAGCAACAGTGCTCAAGCCAGAGAGAACAAGGACTTTGTGCGCCCCAAACTTGTGACCATCATCCGCAGCGGGGTCAAGCCTCGGAAGGCAGTGCGTGTGCTTCTCAACAAGAAAACAGCCCACTCTTTCGAGCAGGTCCTCACTGACATCACAGAAGCGATCAAGCTGGAAACTGGAGTTGTCAAAAAACTCTATACCCTTGATGGAAAGCAGGTCAGTGCCTGTACAAAGTACTTTTTTCATTTTCCCAACTCTGTAGGTCAGTGGTTCTCAACCTGTGAGTCAGGACCCTTTCACAGGGTTCGCCTAAGACCATTGGGAAACACAGATATTTACATTACTATTCACAAGAGTGGCAAGATTACAGTTATGAAGTAGCAATGAAAATAATTTCATGGTTGGGGGGTCACCACAACACGAGGAACTGTATTAAAGCAGCATTAGGAAGTTTGAGAACCACTGTTTTAGATGCTCATTTTATATAAGTCATTATTCATGGTTGAGGGTCTCTCCCTCCATATTCCTTCATCCTTAACTGATACCCTTCATCTCATTTTGGATAAAGATCTTCTCAACAGACAAAGCAATGAACCAGAAATTGGCTGCTTTGAAATTCCTTTTACTTTTCATTTCTCAGGCATAGTGGTCAGTTAGCTCCCAGATCTTTATTCACTAAGAAAAAAATGTTTCAAAACTAGCATGAAGCAAGCTTGATCATTTTATACATATAACTAAAAATATGGTTTGTCCCACTCATTTTTTAAGATACTCCCATGATGGTGTTCTGCATCCTTTTGGATGAAAGGAAGTTGAAGTGACCCTTATGTTTATATGAAAGGAGGTAAATAAGGGGAAAGCAGTAAAATTTCGGGTGCATTGTCTTTGCCTTACACTAAGATATATGTTTCTCTCCCTTTTCCATGTGACATAGCTGTTTTAATTTGGTTCCATGGATGGGTTGTGTGAGAAAGGAACTATTTCAGGATTCCAAAATTAGCCCAAGAAAGATGCTACCATCTGTTCCCCTCCAAATCAGGTTCTTCATGTCATTGGTTACACTACTGAAGTTGCTACCTATATTAGTATCTGGGAAAGAATGCAGCCAGGCGTCTCCATAAGACAGATGCACCATTCTCTTGAGCACTGAGATCTGTAAATATGTAACAAAAATGTTCCAAGAGAATTGTAACAGTGGCTAGTTCTATTGGTTCAAATGGTCATTTTGGTGACCCATCTGGAAGACAAGTGTGGATGATTATCAGTCCATAATCCTGCCTCTTAAAATATCTTTCATAATGGAAGAATTATAGTTTCTAAAATGTAACTTTCTATATATCAAAATGACTGATGGGTATTTAAATGCAGAACTATGACTTTCCCCATAATTACTAATATGTATTGCATGCTACAGGATTTCAAGTTTCAGGAAAAGTCACTTATATGCTATGCACTTGGCAATTTTGATAAATTTGTGTTTTTCTACTTTTCATCTTTTTGTGCTCCAAGATGCCTATAGTCGAGGTTCACTGAGAGACTCTGTCTCAGGGGAATAAGCAGAGAGTGATAGAGCATGATACCCGTTGTCTCCTGTTCTCTACACAAACATGGACACATGTGTCACACACACACACACACACACACACACACACACTCCATGAGCATTCTGTCTCTCTTTATCTCACATCCCAAGCATAAACACACACAAACACACACACACACACACACACACCACAAGCATTCACACACACCACAAGCATTCACACACACCACAAGCATTCACATACATGTACATACCACGAATATTTCCACTTACATCACAAGCATTCACACACACACCACAAGCACATGCAGGCACACACACACACACAGTTACTACAGCATTCACATGCACACACAAGCACACTCACCATAAGCAATCACACACACACATACTATAAACATTCACACACATGCAAATACACACCCCAACAAGCATTCAAACATACAAACACATATCACCAGCATTCATACACACCACAAACACTCACACATACAAGTATTCATAGACACACACATACACAAACACTATTAAAAACAAAGCTTAACCTTCCACATTTGCGGTCAGTTCGTTATCAAATAAATTTATCGGTATTCACATATCTCTTAAAAAGCATTAGTACTCTTCGTCTAGTTTACCTCTACTGTTCTTAGTATGGGTTTCCAGTATTGTGTGAAGATGGATCATTCCTTGGCATTCTTCACTGTTCCTGATAACGTGTTAAAGGTAACGTACAGATCTTAAGTAAGCAAGTGTCTGTCCAATGATGAGTGGGTTTTCACCTCCAAAGGCCACACATAATGGAAGTCCTCTACAATGTCTTCAAGCATCAGTTTCAATTTCTTTAGGGAAGATGCTACAATATGATAGCAGGATATGATAATGGTGTGTAAGTACAGAAACAAAAGTGACACTTAATTGACAGTGATAGAGACAGGAATTGGTTAGTTCAATCAAAAGATTTGGATTGGTATTCTAATCTTTCACAGTGACAATCACTTTCTGACATTCATCAACTGGAGAAAGAAGCCTAGATGGAATTCAAAGACTCTAATTCTAGCTTTTCACTTTTTAGTCACTAACTATGTGCTGTGGGGCCAATCATGTCACTTTTTCTGAGCCTCAGGTTTGGGTTTGGTTTGTTTCGGATTTTTTTGAGATAGGGTCTCTCTATGTAGTCCTGGAGTTTGAGCTGGCCTTGAACTCTCAGAAGTCCTCCTGCCTCTGCCTCCTGAGTGCACCACCTTTAATCTACTATTTTATAGGATGGTCTCTAAATGGTATGTGCCAATCTTATACTAAGATCGTCTTGTTACCTAAAGTGCCACGATAAAAGGAGATTTTCTAACTTGTAATTTTTGTCTTCATTTTCTTCTCAATGTGGATGATGTAAGGGGTAGAAAGTAGAAGATTTGCAAACAAGAGCAAGGGAACAGGCAGGCTATTAGAACTGTGGTAGCTCCACAGCACCACAGTGCTGGATAAGAACGATTGATTCGTGTGGGTAGTTAGAATCCCATTAGGCATCACTATTTTATTTTTAAACATTCATTGGTGTTATTATTCATTTCACAATAAATGTGTTTCATAATGACATTTTTGTGCCTCTATGACTTTGCAATTTGATCACATTCATCCCCCATTATTTCACCCTCTTCTTTCCACAAATATCTGATTTTCCCAGTACCATTTGTTGAGACAAAAAAAGCAGAATTTTTACATCTATCTCCACCAAAGAGATTAGCTTACAGTTTTCTTTTTGTTGTATCTTTATCTGGTTTGGGTAGAAACATAATACTGACTTTATAAAAAGAGTTTCTTCATTTTCTAATGTATGTAACGGTTTCTGAAGCCTTGATGTTCTTTTTTAAAGGTCTAGTATACCAAGGTCTGGGTCTGGAATTATTTTTTAACTTTGGAGATTTTTTTATTGCTGTTTTACTCTTGTTGTCATTATAGGTCTGTTTAAATTGCTTATCTCATCTTGGTTTAATTTTGGTAGGTTACATGCAGGTCAAAAACCATCCATTTCTTTTTTTTTTTTAAGATATGGCCTAATGATTTTCTAGATTTCTTTGTTATCTACATTCATTTGTGATTTTATTAATTTGTTTCTTCCCTCTTTTTCTTTTTGTTACGTCGCCTGAGGGTTTGTCCAGTGAAACACTGACTCTTATTATTTTTATATTTCTATTTCATTAATTTATGCTATGATATTATTTTTCCTTTGATTAATGCAATGTCAAATAATTAGTAACCTTAATAACACCATAAAATGTTTTGTCATGCAACACAAAATGATGGCATTTCGCTATAACAATAATTCGAGGAAAGGAAATTATGCAAAGGTAAGCATCATTGAGGTGATCATTCTTAGAATTCTATATATCATAAGTGAAAGAGAAAGACAATTCAAGTGATTCTGAGGTTTATGCCTAAGGCGTATGGGGTGGATGGTGGGGCCATTCAAAGAGATTAAGGAGATTCAGTGCAATAAAGTGGACTTTAGATATACTGAGTTCTGGGGCTTTGCTGCATCTAAGTAAAGAGTCCAGAAGGGCTACAATGGGTGTGGATCTCAGGACACAGGGTCTGGGCTGGGGATACAAATTTAAAAGTAACTTGTAAACAATTGTAGCTAAAATCAGGCAAGTAGATGAGTTCAGCAAGGATGTATGTGACAGATTGCCCCAAACTCTGAAGAATCTCTGTTGGATTTGAGTGAAAGGAATGGGTGAAAGGTGAGACCCAATATGTTACAGAGAATCCTGAGAAATAATGTGAAGGTGTGTCCAGAGAGGCTAGGAGAACAGTTTTTAGTCAGGATTGGGCGGTTATGTCAATGTGGCAGTGTTTTTTTTTTCTTTTTTCTGAAATACAGTAAAGATTGTAAATTAATTGAATTCAGGTGATTGGAATGGTCATTTTTGTGGCTAAAGGAAGCAAAACTCCCCTGTTGAGCAGATGGCTCAGTGAGAACCTTGAAGGCAACTGGGAGGATAGAGTCAGAACTGTGTGAGACTGTAAGAAACCTGGTTTCCTGGCAACACCTTATGCTGGATCCATCAAAACTTGCCTGTCCATTGATCTAGAGTTTCTTTTCCTATTTTTCTGTTATATGGAGTTGGCTGAATACCATTCCTGTATACCTCACTCCATATATTCACTTTAACATGCAAAGCGAGTCCTTAGTCCCACAGTGTTCTTCTGTATTATCAGTTAATTCCTTACCTCTGGATGTATCAGACTGTTCCTTGGTTTGATTTTCTCAGGACCTTGATTTCAGCACATAGATTTAGTTGATAAGGTGATAACAATTTAATTTTCAACACAAGATCAGCAATGATCAATTTAGAACACATTTCCTAAATTATGTTATAACTACATTAGGTGAATAGAATGTTCTATAGTCAAACAGATAGCATTGCACGGTATATTGGTTTATTCTATAAAGATTCAAAGAAGACATCATCAAAGTAACCTGCTAGGATTCCTGAAACTATTTTGAACAACAAGACTTAAAAAAAATAGTTGACCATATGGTCAAAGCACATGAGGAATCACTGGCCTCTGCTTTAGGTATTTATTTGCATTTTAATTAGAGCATCTTGAAAAAGAAAAACCTTACAGGCCTTTAGAAATGATTATATGGAAAGAAAACAGGTGCCACTGCATT